GGGCTGCTGGAGTTAGTCCTGCTGGTTGCACTGCTGGAGCTAGTGGCGGTGCTGGAGCTGCCGGTCATGCTGGAGCTGGAGCTGCTGGAGGTGGAGCTGCTGGGGGTGTTGGCGCTGGTGGTCCTGCTGGCGCTAGTGCGTCTGAGGGTGCAGGAGTTGGCGCTGTTGGAGCTGGAGGTGCTACTGGTACTGGTGCTGCCGTTGGAGGTACTAGTGCTGTCCCTGCTGGTTTTGGAGGCGCTGCGCGGCCGCAGCCGTACTTCGTTCCGCTCCTTGAGCAAGTTCTTGGTCTCCCGCCCTCTACAGGTCCTTCTCCTCCCTTAGAGTGTCCACAGCCTGTCCAGTCGCAGTCCCAGTTACAGCCCGCCTCCCCCCTACCTGCTCCTTCTCCCTACACTGGTCCTACTGGAGGTCTTGCTGAGCGTCGTGAGTCTGCGTCTCGTCCTGCGTGGCCTGTTCGTGCTGCTCGCACTAGTCGTCGTGCTCCGCGTCTGCGTCCTCCTGCTGTCCCAGGCACACACCAGATGGCACTGCGTCCTTCCACTGCTCCTCTGTGTGTCCCGTTGCCGTCTCCTCCAGAGTCCTCTCTTCCTGTCCTTGCTGACCCGGAGTCTGACTCTCTTCGTGCTGCCAGTCCTACTGTCACGCGTCTCCTGGCTACTGTTGTCACTGACCCTTCCTTTGAGTCCACTGCTGCGTCGGCCCTAGTTGCTAAGCTTGGCGACTTTGCTGCTCGCTGTCGTCTAGACTACGTTGCTAGTCTTGTTGCTTATTCTGAGCCTGTCTGTCCTACGTCCGTCGGGGGTAAGGGTGCTCTTAGCACGGACGTCCTTGGGGACAGGCAGGAGGAGTTCCAGTGCTTTGCTGCTGCTTTGCCTCATCTCGTGTCCACGCTGATTGCCCCTGAGGGAGACCCGGATGCACCAGACATCCCGACTCCTCGATCGTACGCTGAGGCCATCGAGGGTCCCTACTCCTCTCAGTGGCAGTCAGCCATGGACGCAAAGATGGCTTCCTGGAAGTCTAGAGGCACCTACGTCGACGAGGTTCCCCCACCTGGGGCGAACATGGTCAGTGGCATGTTGATTTTCAGGGTGAAGCGGCCGCCGGGTTCTCCGCCTGTCTTCAAGGCGCGTTACGTGGCTCGAGGCTTCAGTCAGCGGTAGGGAGTTGACTACTTTCAGACCTTCTCTCCCACCCCGAAGATGACCACTCTTCGGATGCTGCTGCACATAGCTGCTCAGCGCGACTACGAGCTTCACTCTCTTGACTTCATCACTGCTTTCCTGCAGGGCAGCCTGCATGAGGAGATCTGGCTGCGCCGCCCACCTGGCTTCACTGGGTCGTTTCCCCCTGGTATCCAGTGGAGCCTCCGGCGGCCAGTCTACGGTCTCCGCCAGGCGCCCCGTGAGTGGCACGACACGCTGAGGACTACACTTGCGGCTCTTGGGTTTGCTCCGTCTACAGCCGACCCGTTGCTGTTTCTGCGCACCGACACCTCTTTGTCGCCGTTCTACATCCTCGTGTATGTCGACGACTTGGTCTTTGCCACTGCTGACACTGCTGGACTCGCCCACGTGAAGTCCGAGCTGCAAAAGAGACACACGTGTGTCAGAATGTAATTGTATACATTAATCTATAACTGCTTGTAGTGTAGACTTTGTGTAGTTATCTTGCTTGTTAGGTGGTGCACCTTTCTTGAACTATAACTTGTACTTGTTTCTCATATTGAATCATCCATTCTCTCGACTTTTCTCCTTGGCTCAAACCCCTTGATCTCCTTGGCCTAGGCTACTAAGCCTAGGCCCGTCCTAAACATACTTACCTCGTGCTTAGTATCTTGACATGGTATTAGAGCGTTTTCCTTCCTGGCCTGTGGGCCCGCCTCACGTTTCCGCTGCTATTTTCCCAATCGAGCGCCTCAGACGCATGGCGATCTTTGATCAGTCCTGCGCCCAGGTGGCGCGTGACATTTTTTTTCCTGCCCTGAGCCGTCGCGGACCCACTTATGTCGCCTGCGACGGTGCCCTGCCCGTCGCGTGCCACGTGGTGCGCGACGGTGCCCTGAATCCTGCCCGTCGCGTGCCCCGTGGTGCGCGACGGTGCCCTGAATCTGCCCGTCGTGCGCCCCGTGGCACGCGACGGTGCCCTGCCCGTCGTGCGCCCTGTGGCACGCGACGGTGCCCTGAACTGCCCGTCGCGTGCCCCGTGGTGCGCGACGGTGCTCTGAGCCGCCGCAGACCCGCCTCTGGCGCCCGCGGCGGTGCCCTGAGCCACCGCAGACCCGCCCCTGGCGCCCGCGGCGGTGCCCTGAGCCGCCGCGGACCCGCCCCTGGCGCCCGCGACGGTGCCACTGCCCCACCCAGCGCCTGCCCTTGGAGCAGCCGCACCCACGACTGCACTCGCTGCAGCCGCCCCTACCTCACCCAGCGCCTGCCCTTGGAGCAGCCGCCTCAGCCTCACCCCGCGCCTACACTCGCTGCAGCCGCCCCTGCCCTACCCGCGCCGACCCTCTGTAGCCGCTCTGCGGCTTTCTCCCCGCCCCCCCCTCCTCCTTCGTTTCCCTGCAGCCGTGGGGGGGAGGGTAAGGGGGTGGCGGGTGTGGGGGTGATGGGTGGTGTGCTTCCTTTCCCCTCCTCCTCCTTTCGTTCCCACTGCTGCAGCTGCCGCTGGGGGGGAGGGTGTGAGGGTGTGGGGGAGCCGGGGGAGTGGCACTGGGGTGGAGGGTGTGAGAGCAACCAGCAGCCGTCCCTCCACCTCTGCTCTCTTCCCCCTTCTGCAGAATGTAAGTTAGGGGGTGTGTCAGAATGTAATTGTATACATTAATCTATAACTGCCTGTAGTGTAGACTTTGTGTAGTTATCTTGCTTGTTAGGTGGTGCACCTTTCTTGAACTATAACTTGTACTTGTTTCTCATATTGAATCATCCATTCTCTCGACTTTTCTCCTTGGCTCAAACCCCTCGATCTCCTTGGCCTAGGCTACTAAGCCTAGGCCCGTCCTAAACATACTTACCTCGTGCTTAGTATCTTGACAACGTGCACAGACCTGGGTGAACTGCGCAGCTACCTTGGCTTGCATATCACCCGAGACAGAGCACACCGCACCATTACCCTGACTCAGTCACAAATGGTGCAGCAGGTCCTTCAGCGCTTCGACTTCACGTACTCCTCGCCTAAGGCCACTCCTCTGTCTACTCGCCACTCGCTCTCAGCTCTGCCTTCGGATGAGTCCGTAGAGCCGAGTGGCCCGTAACCAGAGCTTGTTGGCTGCCTCATGTACCTGATGACCTGCACACGACCTGACCTAGCATAAACTCTTAGCATCTTGGCACGCTATGTTGCTCCTGGGAGACACCGACCAGAGCACATGGCTGCAGCGAAGAGGGTGTTGGGCTACGTGTGCAATACGTCGGGCATGGGGCTAGTGCTTGGAGGGCGACGTCAAGTGGTCCTCACAGGTCACGCAGACGCTTCTTGGGCTGACGACCAGGCTACGCAGCGGTCGTCACAAGGTTACACCTTCAGCCTTGGCTCCAGCTCTGTCTCGTGGCGGTCTACCCGCTCGTCTTCTGTTCTCGGCTCCAGCTGTGAGGCTGAGATCTACGCTGGGGCCATGGCTGCACAGGAGCTACGTTGGCTCACCTACCTGCTGACTGACCTAGGAGAGCCGCCTCGTTCTCCTCCAGTTTTGTACGTAGACAACAAGGCCATGCTGGCCTTGTGTCGGGAGCACAAATTGGAGCACAGAACGAAGCACATTGCTCTCCGCTAATTCCTTGCTCGTGAGCTGCAGCAGCGTGGTCAGCTGCGCCTTGCTTACGTGGCCTCTGAGGCCAACACTGCTGATATCTTTACCAAGGCACTTCCGCCTGGTGATCATCAGCGCTTCTGTACAATGTTAGGTCTTGTGCCTACTTGGCCTCATTTGCTCACTTCTTGACCTTGCTTGTACTGTGATCTTTCTATACCTGCACTTGCTTGTTTACCTTTATATATGATCTTGCATGTGAACTGGCCTTTTGGCCTTGCTCTTGTGTTCGGATTGTGTGGTGACGTTGTGATCCACCCTGAGCTTGCTTTGCTTTGCTTGACTGGTTTTGTGACCTCTTGTTCTCCCCCACTTTGCCTATGGGGGTGTGTCAAACTCATATGCTATAGTCTGTGTAGGCTGTAGTGGGGTAGACAATATGGGGTACAACACTTCTAGGTTTTCCTACTTGTACCCATTTGCTTGCTAGTTCATTCATTCCTCATTTCTTCACAACATGGTATCGAGCCGTAACGTTCCTATGGGCCCACCATTTGACGCACTCGTCACGGCGCCCATGACGTCCTTAGTTTCGACCGTGGTGACGGGCGCCACGGCGAGTACCTTCGCGGCCGTCCCGTCGCCTGTCGCATCGTGGCGTTCAGCATGATGGCCACGACGAACGCTTTGGCGAACGCTAGCAACCCGCTAGCAACCCGCCAGCAAATTCGCCACGGAAATCGCCAGCGGCGCACAAGCGACATCGCAAGCGAGCACGCCATGCGATTCGACGGATCCGTCGTTGAGCCCGCCGCAACAGCCGCCAGCCGCAAACGACCAGCACAAGCAGCGACATCTGCGCCGTCCAGCGTCACCCGCGAGAGTGACGCTAACCAGCGCCAACCGTGACAAATGCACCGTCAACGACGACTGCCATTGACATGCGCTATCGTCTGTCGCTGGCGTCAGTTCGTCCACGCCCAGCACGCACCCAGATTGATGCCCCGTACGCATCCTGCCTCTTGCTCGCCTCCCGTCGCCCGTACGCACCTCGCCACCTGCTCGCCTCCCCTCGCCCCGCTACTCGCGTGTGCAGCGACAGTCACTGTGGGGAAGAGAGAGGGAAACGCGAAGGGCGTGGCGGCTGATCGCCAGCCAGCTCACCAACCGTCCGCGCAGATCCCCCGTATCCCGTCCGAACCCGCACCCCGCGACCATCCTGTCGTCCCGCCTCGTCCTTGCCCCGCTGTCAGATCCCGCTCCATTTCCAAAAGGTGGGGGAGGTGGTGGTGTGTTGGCCGGTGAGGGACGGCTGGGGAGGGGGAGTGGGGGTTGGTGGTTCATGAGGGGGGAGGAGTTGGGGACGGGGGTGGTGGGCGGATGTCAGCCGCCAGCACCAGGCACCAGCACCAGCGCCAGCCGCCAGCACCAGGCACCAACACCAGCCGCCAGCACCAGGCACCAGCACCAGCGCCAGCCGCCAGCACCAGGCACTAGCACCAGCTGCCAGCACCAGGCACCAGCACCAGGCACCAGCACCAGCCGCCAGCACCAGGCACCAGCACCAGCGCCATGCACCAGCACCAAACGCCAGCACCAGCACCAGACGCCAGCAGAGCACCCCGCCAGCAGAGAACCCCGCCAGCAGAGAACCCCGCCAGCAGAGAACCCCGCCAGTAGAGAACCCCGCCAGCAGAGAACCCTGCCAGCAGAGAACCCCCAAGAGAACCACCCTCTGCTCTGCCTCTCCCCTCCCGCGGCTGCTAGTGTGGGGGGTAGGTAGCAGGGACGGGTAGGTGGGAAGGCTGGCTGCCGTGTGAAGGACAGGGCAGAGACAACTGTGAGTGGGGCAGGGGTGTGGAGGAAGGAAGGGAGGGAGGGGGTGCGGTTCCAGGGGGCGGCTGAAATGGGGGGTGAGGTTGAAGGAGGGTGGTTGATTGGGGGTGGGGATGTGGGGGTTAGTAAGAGGGGACGCTGCGGCCACCCTCCACCTCCTCTCCTCATCCCCCACTCAACCCCCCTTTCGTAAAAGGGGGTTAGTAAGAGGGGACGCCGCGGCCACCCCCCCACCTCCTCTCCTCATCCCTCACTCAACTCCTCCTGTGTTCTCATCTCCTCTCTCCCTCTCGCCGCCTCCCCTCACGTACCCCTCTGCCGTCTCCCATCGTGTCTGCTCTACCCCTTCAGGGGGTGTTTACTGCCCTAGTTATTACTGCAAGCAGGCTACGGGGGTGTGTCAAAGTTATGTTTAGTATATCCTGCTTGCTGTAGTTACTGTAGTGTAGTTATTTGATTGTTTGCTTGGTGGTGCTTTTGTTTGCTATATGTACCTTTGGTCCTATAGTGAACCCAACCATTCTCGATTCTCCTTGGTGACAAGACTCTCGACACCCGCTTGGCCTAGGCTACTAAGCCTAGGCCCCTTAGTTAGACCCGGTTCCTAGTTAACTTAGTATTGTAACATGGACTTCCCGTGGCCTCCCTTGTCGTCGTCGTCGCTCTCTTCGCGTTCGGGGCACTCGAAGGAGAGGTGGTCGGGGTCGCCGCATAGCCAGCATTCCTGCTGTTGACCGCTGCACTTGCGCATGTATTCCGCCGACTCCGTCGTCGGCAGCCAAGATCACTCCACTCATCCTCCTCGTGCCCTCGTCTCTGCCGGCTTGGTCACCATCGTCGACGTGCTCGTCGACGCCGCCTTCGTTGCGCACAGGTTGGGGTGAGGTAGACACGCCGTCCGCTGCAGCACGGGGAGGTGGATGGTCGTGCGCCCACTGCGTGCGAGTGCCTAGGAGTGCCCACTCCAAGGGGACCTCGCCGAACTCGTCAGCTGTATGGCGTCTCCTAACATCAGCCTCTTGAGTCTCCAAAGTATCCTCTACACCCGCTTCAACAACGCGGTCAACCATGGCGACTACAAAAGCTGCCGGCCTACCAACGAATTAGGTAATGCCCACCTTAGTCTGCTACTCTGAAGGTATCTTTGCGGGACCGTCCACGCTCACCGCACCATGTGGAGAGTCACTACACAACGGGAGTAGACTACGGAGGAAGGCACGGGGTTGTGCGGGTGATCGACGCGTTGCACTAGGAGTTCTCACTACTTGCTATGTTCACAAGGAAATATGGCAAGAGTTTCACTAAGACATTGAAAGAGCATTAGCTTACAATGAGGCATGCAAGTCGATATAGCTAGAATGGCATTACAACACCTAGCAAGCCCTCTGCTGTTAAGGTGAAGCCCTGCACGCGCCTGGTTTTGCATGTAGCAGCCCTATGCAATGTAGCGAGGTTTCGCATACCGCATACCGGAGCTTCGGTATTCACCGAGTACACTCCAATAGTGCACTTGGGTATGCACTGTTCAACACTGAACCGAAATGGAGGGAATGTCAGAACATTATAGCTTATGCTTTTGTGTAGGCTGTAGTGGGGTAGCCCATATGGGGTACAACCCAATTAGGGTTAGTACTTGTACCCAACTCTTTCATAGTGCATTCATTCTCGTTCTAGTTTTCTCATGGTATCAAGCAGGTTCCCTCGTGGGAACTGTTCCTAGGGCCCACCAATTCGATTTTTTTTTTCCCTGCCCGGAGCGCACTCAGTTCCTGCCCGAGTCGCGCTCCCCTCTCTCGACCCTCTCGCGCCGCCTTAGCGGCCCCGTCGCGTCACGCTAGAAGCCCCGTCGCGTCGCCCTCGCGGCCCCATCCCGTCGCGCCGCCCTAGCGGCTGCGTCCCGCCGCCCTAGCGGCCTCGATCCGCCGCCCTAGCTGCCGCGTCGCCTACTCCTGCGGCCCCGGCGCCGCCCTTCCCGGCCCCGATCTGCCGCCCTAGCGACCCCGTCGCCTACCCCGCGGCCCCGGCGCTGCCCTTCCCGGGCCCCGACGACGCCCTTCCCGGCCCAGCCATGCCTCTGCTGGCCCCGTCGCCTAGCCCTGCGGCCCCGGCGCCGCCCTTCCCGGCCCCGACGCCGCCCTTCCCGGTCCCTTCCCGACCCCGATCACTCTCTACTACATAGTCACCTGCCTCCCTGACTCCCTTCGCGTAGTCAGGGACCACTTCCTCTCAATTTGCCCCACCACTCTCACCGTTGACCTCCTCGAGAAGGCCCTCCTAGCAGCGGAGAAGAGCATAGTCGCTAAAGGAGCCTCTCGTGGTGACCCTCGCAACCCCATCTTTGAAGGGTGTTCCCCCTCCCCCCTTTTGCCCTCTGTTGCCTCTGCTGCTGCGGCCGACCACGTTGCGCTTGAGTCGGTCAGTGCGGCGTCTACCCCTAACAGGAGACGCCGCCCTGGCAAGGGCAAGGAGGGCAGGGGCGCTGGAGGAGCTAGCGGGGGCGGTGGAGGCGGCGCTGGAGGCGGCGGAGGGAATGGGGGTGGCGGTGGGGGTGGTGGCGGGGGTGGAGGTGTCGGTGGCGGCAGTGGAGGCGGAGGCGGCGGCGGTGGCGGTGGGAGCGGAGGTGGCGGAGGTGGCAGCTGCGGAGGAGGCGGTGGCGGAGGAGGTGGAGCTGGTCGGGATGGCGCTGCACAGAGGGTCGGCTCCGGTGGTGGTCAGCGCCAGCAGCAGCAGCGCACTCGTGACATCCCCCCCCCTCAGCAGCTCCGTGAGTGGTACGCTGCACGCCAGCGGGGTGGGGGTACTGGTCCGTGCACCTACGTCCTACGCACCGGCGACCGCGCGGGTGAGCAGTGTGGGGGTGCGCACTCCACCCAGAGCTGCTTTGGCCGCCTGACGGACGCTTGGCGTCACCAGTTCCCGGAGGTGACGGAGATCCCCCGCTGGGGTGAGCTGTCTGGGGCGGGAGTAGCTATCTTTGACCTTGACTTTGATGCTATTCTTGCTGCCATGTATGTTGTGACTATTAGTGATGAGGGTGACTGTTACCGGTGTTTCCCGCCCGACTCGGGCATTGAGACTGCTGGTCTAGGTACTGGTGAGGCTGCTGCTCTAGGTGCTAGCGAGGCTGCTGCTCTAGGTGCTTGTGCGTCTGCTTCCTCAGGTGCTGGTGAGTCCGCGCTCTCAGCTACCGAGTCGGCTTCAGCCTCCCTCACCTTCACCCTTGACTCGGGGGCTTCTCACTCCTTCTTTCGAGACCGCACCACACTCACGCCGCTTGGTCGGCCAGTTGCAGTCTCTCTGGCAGACCCCTCTGGGGGTCCTATCCTTGCTCACTTCTCCACTGTCCTCCCGTGTCCGGCGGCTCCCTCTGGCACCCTGTCTGGTCTTTACCTCCCCTCGTTCTCTACGAACTTGGTGAGTGGTGCTGACCTACAGGATGGGGGAGTTCACCAGTTCACTCCTGCGAGCCAGCGGGTCACCCACTGCACGGACGCTCGGACGGGCCGACACTTGGCCACGTTTACTCGTCGGCCAGGGTCGAGCCTGTACACACTGACCACTGCGTCTCCTCCTGTCCCTGCGTCTGGTCAGGTAGCTGCGTCGGGTCAGGTGTTTGCTGCAGCGTCCAGGTCTGGTCCTGAGTCTGCCCCCTGCTCGTGTCGCCTCCTGTCTCACGAGACTCTCCTCTGGCACCACCGCCTTGGTCACCCCTCCCTGCTTTGTCTCCGAGGCATGGCCTCCCGTGTCCTTGTCTCTGGTCTTCCCCGGTCCCTCCCTCCCCTTCCTCCGGGGCCTGGCCCTACCTGCGTCCCCTGTGTCGAGGGACGGCAGCGGGCTGCCCCTCACTCCTCCCAGTTTCCTCCGACAGAGGCCCCGCTGCAGACGCTTCACATGGACGTGTGGGGCCCGGCCCGCGTCCGTGGGCAGGGTCACGAGCGCTACTTCCTGCTGGTGGTTGACGACTACTCGCGTTACTCCACAGTCTTCCCCTTGCGCAGCAAGGGTGATGTCACTGAGGTGCTGATCGACTGGATCCGCGCAGCTCGTCTCCAGCTCAGGAGGAGCTTCGGCTCGGACTTTCCTGTTTTTTGCGTCTGCACTCTGACCGAGGTGGGGAGTTCTCCTCTGGCCTTCTGCGGGCCTACTGTCGTGCACGGGGGATCCGCCAGACCTTTACGCTTCCGGACTCTCCACAGCAAAATGGGATTGCTGAGCGCCGCATTGGCATGGTCATGGACGTCGCTCGTACGTCCATGATGCATGCGGCTGCCCCCCATTTTCTGTGGCCGTTTGCGGTTCGGTACGCGGCGCATCAGATCAACCTTCACCCCAGGGTCTCCATGCCAGAGACCTCCCCAGCTTTGCTGTGGACGGGGAAGGTTGGCGATGCGTCTGCGTTCCGTGTCTGGGGATCTCTGGCGTTTCGACGCGACTTGTCTGCGGACAAGCTGTCCCCTCGTGCGGCTCCTTGCGTCTTCCTTGGCTTCCCCACTGATGCGCCAGGGTGGCAGTTCTACCACCCCACCTCTCGCCGTGTTCTGTCCTCCCAGGAAGTCACGTTTGACGAGTCGGTCCCCTACTACCGCCTCTTCCTCTACCGCACTCCGTCCCTCTCCCCGCCGCCGCTCTTCCTCGTACCAGGTCCCCCCCTGGTAGACCCCCTCCCCCCTCTGGGTCCAGCCCCTTCAGGTGTGTCCCAGGTAGACGTTGTCGAGCATGTCGAGGTCACTGGTGACTCTGGTGCTGCTGAGGGTGCTGAGCCTGGGGGTGCTGACTCTAGGGGTGTTGAGCGTGTGGGTGCTACGCCTGGGGGTACTGAGACTGGGGGTGCTGAGCCTGGGGGTGCTGAGACTGGGGGTGCTGAGACTAGGGGTGCTGAGCCTGGGGGTGCTACGCCTTGGGGTGTTGAGCCTGGGGGTGCTACGTCTAGAGGTGCTGAGCCTGGGGGTGTGGAGCCTGAGGGGGCTGGGCCTGCTCGTGTGGTGTCTGGCGGTGCTGGGCCTTGAGGTTCTCCGGGGGCTTCGTCTCAGCGGGAGCCACTCTATCCACAGGAGCTGCGCGAGTGGTTTGCCCGGCGCTGGAGGCGTGCTGCTGGAGCTGGAGGGTCTTCGGCTGCTGAGGGTGCTGGTGTCGTGGGTCCCCGAGGTGCTCGTACTGGAAGTGCTGGAGCTGCTGGGCCGGCGGGTGCGACTAGAGCTGGAGCTGCTAAGGTGTTGGTGCTGAGGCTACTGCTGTCGGTCCTGGAGGCGGTGCTACTGTAGGTACTACTAGTGCTGCTGGAGGTACTGGAGCTGGAGGTGCTGCTGGCGCTGGTGCTGCCGCTGAGGGTGCTGGTGCTGTCCGTGCTGTGTCTGGAGTCGCTGAGCGGCCTCGGCCGTACTTCGTTCCGCTCCTTCAGCAGGTTCTTGGTCTCCCGCCTTCTACTGGTCCTCCTCCTCCCTTAGAGTGTCCACAGCCTGTCCCGTCACAGTTACAGTTACCGCCGGCCTCCCCACTGCCTGCTCCCTCTCCCGACACTGGTTCTACTGGAGGTCTTGCTTAGCGTCGTGAGCCTGCGTCTCGCCCTACGTCTCCTGTCCGTCCTGCTCGCACTAGTGGTCGTAGTTCACGTCAGCGTCCTCCTCCTGTCCCTGGCACGCACCGAATGTCTCTGCGTCCGTCCACTGCTCCTCTGCGTGCCCCTTTGCCTTCTCCTCTTTAGTCCTCTCTTCCTGCTCTTGCCGACCCGGAGTCGGACTCTCTTCGTGCTGCCAGTCCTACTGTCACGCGTCTCCTTGCTACTGTCGTCACTGACCCTTCTTTTGAGTCCACTACTGCATCTGCCCTTGTTGCTGAGCTCGTCGACTTTGCTGCTCGCTGTCGTCTGGACTACGCTGCTAGTCTTGTCGCTGAGTCTGAGTCTGTCTGTACTCCGTCCGTCGGGGGTGAGTGTGCCCTTGGCACGGACGTCCTTGAGGACAGGCAGGAGGAGTTCCAGTGTCTGGCCGCTGCTTCACCTCATCTCGTGTCCGTACTGCTTACCCCTGAGGGAGACCCGGATGCACTTGACATCCCGACTATGCACTCTTACGCGGAGGCGATAGAGGGTCCCTACTCCTCTCAGTGGCAAGCAGCTATGGACGCAGAGATGGCTTCCTGGAAGTCCACAGGCACCTACGTTGACGAGGTTCCCCCGCCTGGGGCGAACATCGTCAGTGGCATGTGGATTTTCAGGGTGAAGCGGCCGCCGGGTTCTCCGCCTGTCTTCAAGGCGCGTTATGTGGCTCGTGGCTTCAGTCAGCGGCAGGGAGTTGACTACTTTCAGACCTTCTCTCCCACCCCGAAGATGACCACTCTTCGGGTACTGCTGCACATAGCTGCTCACCGCGACTACGAGCTGCACTCTCTTGACTTCAACAATGCTTTCTTGCAGGGCAGCCTGCACGAGGAGATCTGGCTGCGTCGCCCACCTGGCTTCTCTGGGTCTTT